GGCGGTACGCGGGCCTCTCACTGTTGTGGCCTCTCCCGTTGCGGAGCACAGGCCCCGGACGCGCAGGCTCAGCGGCCATGGCTCACGGGCCGAGCCGCTCCGCGGCATGTGGGATCCTCCCGGACCGGGGCACGAACCCGTGTCCCCTGCATCGGCAGGCGGACTCTCAACCACTGCGCCACCAGGGAAGCCCAGGAGATGGCTTTTGAGAAGCTGACGTCCCCTGGACTTGGTGAATTGGATGGCTATGAGGCTGCAGAGGGAGCCCAGCTGGCTCTGCAGTTTCTGCCCTTGGTGACTAGGTGGCATAGGGGTCCCCAACACTGCAGGGCCAGCCGTGGTTAAAGGCTGGCAGACATCTGTTAGAATAATTTTGTACTTCTTAAGAGATGTTTAGAACTGACTGGTTGAAAAATCAGACCTAGGAGAATTTATGCTGTTGAAAGAAGGTTCAGTTTGACTTAATAAAAATTGTGAATTACATTTCAAACGAGGACATTATAACTGCTTGGTAGATACAGTGTGTACCTAATTTACTAAGTAGTTGGTAAAGCTCCATGAAGGCTGAAACTCATCTTTATTTTGTAGTTCCTCAGTACCTAGCATATAAATGTGGTTCATAGAAAGAGTGCTCTAAAATGTTTGTCACTGAATGAACTATTCCATCTAAGCTAACAGTAATTCTTCAAAGAAGTCATTGCAGGAGTCAGCTCAGGAAACTCACCAACCTGATTTGGTTTGTAATCATTTGTAAATAGGTGCTTTCCAAGTACTTAAAATAATGCTTTTCTTAATAAGAAAAACATGTCCTAAAATTCTTTAAAGGTCATTACTAATGTTTAGGAAATCCCTTCCAGTTTGTACCACGTAGAAAAAGTCAGCTTGCTTCCACATACAAGTTGCTCAAGAAGCTGAGGAAAGTCTCTCCCCCCTGCCTCCCTCCCTCCCTCCCTCCCTCCCTCTGTGTGTGTGTGTGTGTGTGTGTATTTTTTATTAGTCTTTGATGTGTAGTTTGGTCTACTGTACAATATTATTCTCCTCCAAAGCATGTTTACCACTCTGGTTCACAGAGTCCAGAAAATAAAATATCTGGACTCTGAAGCTGTATATTAAAGTGCTTTAAGGAGCTTGGGCTCTGGAAACGGCTGGTCTGGCTCTGAATCCCAACATTGCCATTTCCTGGCGTGTCAACTTGGGTAGTTTAAGTAACTCTCTCTCTCTTTTCTCATCTGTACAAACACGTTATAAGGTTGTCATGAAGATATAATGAAATGGTCACTATAAAGCACTCAGACTGTCAGTTATTTTTTAAAAAAATCACATTTGTTTACCGCCTGGGTTGGAGTGATTTCCAAGAGTACAAGACTTCCTGTGTCTCATTTATGATGGGATTTCTTTGATTTACCTTGAAATGTAAATACCTTCCCTTTGAATACCGTTCCCACGGCTGAAGTCTGTGTTCCCATCTGAAGGCAAAGCAAAAGACAGAGCTTGGCCTGAGGGTAGATCTCCACAGAAAGGTCCTTTCAGATCCATCAGCCTGTACTTTCGGCTTTTGGTTTATTGTAAGCAACTTTAGGAAGACTTGTGTTCAGACCAGGGCTCGAGATGGGGATGACACCAGGAAGGCACCCAGCTGCTGGCCGGCTCCTTGGAAGCAATACACGCATGCTCTGTGGGTACTTGCGAATCACCTGCCAGACGAGTCTCAGCTGAGCATCCCCTCCTGTTATAGACAGTCAGGGTTCTGTGGGTCCTGTGTGGCCTGGGAAGAGACATGGCTGGTCTGCCTGCTGCTCTTGAAATGTGGCAGTGCGTTTCTAAGTGCTACCTCTATTTTTCCTTAAGTCGCACCTGAGCTTCTTAAACTGGTCCTGCAGGTTGTCGGTTCCCAAGTTTAATACTGCAGACGAGAGAGAGGAGTTGAAATAAGGTGTGTAGATGAAAACTTAGAGGAGAGCTTGTATGTGTAATTTATTCCTCATTCAGTGTCCAAATAGTCAATTTAGTACCAAATGATACTCATAAAATGGTAAAACCTCACCATTCTCCACAAGTTTTTTATTATTTATTTATCCCTCCCTCCCTCCC